TGTAATTTGAATATAAATTATTTATAAATACGTATGTTAAGTTATATTTTTATTACGACGAAAAATATATTTAAGAGTTTATGAACGCTGTACTGAGTGAGACGTTGTTGAAACAAAAAAAGTTATGCATTCCATCACGTACATAAACAGTGTCGTAATTCGCCAAGTACAAATCAGCAAATTCGTAAAATTTTTGTTTATTTTGAACAATCCGGATAATCGAAAATCCGGATAATGGAGGTCCGGATAATGGAGGTTCTACTGTAATTTAATATACTGCAGAAACATAAAACTATTATTTTTGCATTTTTGGTGTATATTATTTTAACAAATAATAATGTATCTTTGACTTATAAAATTAAAAATATTAGCAATACATAATAATTGAATCATATGTTGTAAATGTTAAGTGTATCTTTCTTAAATATTAAGAATGCACAATAAATTTCAGTGCTATTCAAATTTAATTGTAAAAATATATAAACAATTTAAAATTCATTGAGATCTAACAAAATTTGTATACATTTATGTAAAATCTATTACAATAATAATAATTATTGTAAGATATTGGCATACCATAAAAGTAAAATCTTATATGTTTCAAAATCTATTACAAATTTCCATTGTAAATTTGTCTACTGTAATGAAATTTAGCAATTATTTATATATTGTAAATATTTATAAAACATTTTTAGCATAAATAAAAACATTAAAATTCATATTGTAATAAAATAAATGAGCATTTTTTTATACATATTATTCAAATACACAACTAAATGTAAACTTAATATAACCTTTATGGCAAACATAAGGTAGCACAATGTGACAGAACTTAATAATATATCAAAGTGTTATGGCTAAACAAGTCAAAATTTTTTAATAAAGCATTCTTACTGCATGAACTACTACCAGAGAAAGAGAAATATAATAATACAAAAACTGCCAGTGGATATATATATATATATATAAATTAATGGTAAATGAATTCTACCCTATTTGATCTCTTACTTAATTATTGTTTGGTAAATTTCATTATAATATTGTCAACATCAAATATTAACCATATACTACAAATATTGAAATAACAGGATCAAGGAGTGTATATCAATAGAATGTAAATATTCTGCAGATAACCCATTATTTAATATGATGGCTCTTACAAGGAAAATAAAATATATTCTCCAATAACTTTCTTGAATTTAAAAAGAAATTGTTATCAGAATTAGTGAAATCAAAAATTTCTATAATTGAAAAAAACAAAAACATGTATGCTCTGACTATACTTAACAAACTGCGCAAGATCAAAGTAATGACTGATTTTAAATCACCAACTAAAATGGGTGAAGTCTGGTCAAAAAGTTGGAGAACACAGATTGGAGATTTGATCTGCATTCAAGCAGGGTTTGATCTTCAATTATGGCTAGTGAATATGACAATTGAAGAAATTCTTTTATGATCTAGAGATGACTGATTAATTAAAAAAAATTAATCTTTTAAATCAATAAAAAAGTATACATCTAATATTTTAGAATCAATGCTGAATAGGAAAAAATATATACAGTAATACCTCGACTTACACAAACCCGGAGTTACGCGATTTTCAAATCTCGTCAATTCGTCTTTTGTTTGAGCGCCAAGCAACTCTCGATTACTCAATCCCCCCACACTATTGTGGGGGGATTGAGTAATCTTACATGTTCAGACGTGTCGCGCGGAATCGACACATAGCTACAATTTATTTTGTGTTATTTATTTCTGTGTTTGTTATATCTACAGAGACTTAAGAGACTATGTGGTGATTCCTTGTAACCATGAACAAATCAAAAGACGAGATAAGATTAACGAGAACATTTATTAGCTTACATACATACGACTTCGGTTTTACACAAATTGCGAAATTATACCCAGACTTACGCCGTTATCGCTCAGTCCCACCTATCGCGTAAGTTCGGGGTATCACTGTATATTAAAAATATTCTGTAACTTACAATAAATTCTTTATATAATTCTATGTTTACCACCTGTGAAAAATAAATTTATGAAATTCATATAGAATATAAGTCAATATACTAAAACTTTTAAGTCTGAAATCTTGACTACTTTAGGGGAAAAATATAATTACTAAAAAAGGAGGTTTTATGTAAAATAAGTTTTAAACTAAGAAACTTTTACATTAGAAAGAAGTTAATTTATAATTTGATAAAATTAAAATCAATTCTAGACATACTATATACTTAGATAAGATGTTCAATTATCTTCAAGATGTATAAAACAACAAATATAAAATTTGAAAACAATCTTTTATGATGCTAATCTGCTTTATTATTTTTATATTTTAAATAAAATTAAAACAATGAATAAAAATTACCTCTTCTTTTGTAGCTTCATAATTTTCATATTCTAAAATGTATTTGCAAAATGTAAAAAAATCTTCAGCAGTTCGTCTTCTTTTCCTAGGTGATCCTTCCTATAAAGAATTGTTTTTATAAATACATATATTGAAGTAGTATTGCAACATAATTATATTACCAATCAAACAAACAGTCTGATTCTTATAGAATATTTTAAATTTTAATTTATTTCTAGTTATTAATTATAACACAAGATGGCAGCTTAACTTCATACCTCTAGCCAAATTGTTTAATATCTTATTACTTAATTAGCCTTAATGCAGGCAATAAGAATCAGGCAGTTCATTTGATTAGTAAAACTATCATGCTATTAGAATATATTGTGATTTATAATAATTACAACTGATTGTTAGATTTTTAATAAACAATGCTAGATATATACTGAAATTTTTCAGTGTATTTACTATTTTTTGTTTACTTTTAGATGTATAAAATTTTTTGAACCATACAAAACATGACAAAAATAAACAAAACAAGTTACATGCAGTGTGTAGCGTCTGTGTAATCCAAAACGAGTTGGTAGACGAACGGACAGCAATTGGTTAGAAAACGTACGTTTTATTTAAAAAATTCCTAATTCATATGCATTTCGAGTTGGCTTAAATTCCCAACCCCTCTTCAGTGCTGTTAAGATTACACAAAAAAATATAATTTAAGGTTAGTTTTACAGTATTGGTTAGTAGGAACATAACTAAAAACGCAAGGTGATGATAACATAAAATTGCTTACTTGACATATAATGGTACAGCATAGATGTATTTTACAAAATTTTTTGATTACATAGTAGTATGGCA